ATCTCTCTGGCGTCCATGGCGTCGATTTTGGGCCTGACCCGAAGCTTAATGTTGAAAGCATAGTGGTTGTCCAGTCCGATAAGTACGACATTATAGAGATGCTTAAGTACAACATAAGAGATTCCGACTTGCATGCGTTAGTGGCCAGGAGCTTAATAATGTGTGAGAGGATCTATGCCCTGGCCAGTTTATCTAGGAGCACGATATAGGACTCGATAGCTAACAACACAATTAGAAGGAGGTGGTTTCCGTAGGAGTGACGGTGTGCAGTCGAGGCTCGGAGCTTAGTATGCCCGGTAACGAGCGTCGTGCATACGAATTTCCCAAATCGGCAATTGAACAAGTACCGCGAGCTTCGGAGCTTAGTTTCCCCGCCTCCGAGCTCTCCGCGGGCCGGCAACTGAATCTCCTGCACGTCTCGGTGCCGTACACCGCCGTTTCCCAGGTGTTAAAAAGAACTCATCGCCCAATTTTTTTCTTTCTCTTCTTTCTTTTCGATACGACCATCCAGACTGGTGCACTTCCCGCGCCGCTTTGGAATCGCATACCAAACTGGGGAAGCTCTCGACGCATTTCCAAAGATTCAGAAGGCAACTGAACCAACGTTCTTGCTACCCTTCGGCGTTACAGTGTCTCTCCTTCAAGCATCGAACTGCAGACGAGCTTGAGAGTCATGGCACTGCCGTTGTGGTCTGATGGATCTTTGAATTTTGTGCGACGAGAGACCTTTTCCAGGCGATTTCAAGCGTCATCTTGCTGCGGAGCCAAGGACGGATTGTTATATGAGAGAGCGGGAGAGGACAGAGGAATTGGTGATTGGAGTGGTTTTTTTCAGCGTTCTTGCATTTTCATGGGTGCGAATGGGCGGTGCGTTTGCTTTCAACTTTTTCTTTTGTATGGGTGCCAATGGGCGGTGCGTTTGCTTTCAGCTTGTTCTTTTGGGTCTTGTCAGCGCTCATCCCGACTGTAAGTCTATAACGCGGGAAGGAGATGGGCAGCGACAGAGACCGGACAAATGCGGTTTTGTACTTCGGTTTTGCTTGCGAATTGTGGTTGGGTCTCGCTAGTGTTCATCCCGACTGTAAGTCTATAACGCGGGAAGGAGATGGACATCACGCGGAGGGTTGATTTTCATAAAGGGGGGGCTTGTTCTTTTGGAGACTGCTTTGGATTTGCTTCCCTGGTGCTTATCCCGACTGTAAGTCTACAATGCGGGAAGGAGATAGGCATCCAGGGAGAATGGGAGTGCTTGTTGATACTAGGCTTGCTTGCAGAATGAGAGAAAGCCTGGCCTATTGAACCTTCTCTTTCTTTGTCTTCACATGCCCTCTACCGTCCATCGGACAGTTATACAGCTCCATTTTGGTAAGATATGTGGCCCATTCCATGCCACTCCAGGGTGACGGTCTATCCCATACGTATTTGAAGCTGGATGCAGATGGCTATTAACAAATTCTATTCCTTATTCAGACGATTTAGCCAAGATCACGTCCAGCTTGTACTATCCACAGGCATCAGACGCGAACAGCCTGTCGTTTGTACAGTTTCTGTTGCCTAATCACTTCGCCCTCTCCCAAGACCGTGCAGGCGAGGCATATCTTCGCTCCCAACACGACCTTTTCTAATTAGCAGCCCTCGTTACCAACGCCCCCAGCGAACAAGTTCTCCTGCGTCGGAGTTCAAAAGAGCTAACATGGCAAAGCCATGAGCGCACATAGAACCCAACCCCAGCGCTGCTTTACCCTAGTGTTAGTATAGGCACTGTCCCGGTATCCCCCGCCCTGCATCCTTCTGGCTCTGCATGCGAGCCAGGATCTTAGAGCCATTTTGTTGGACCTGGCTCATCACCCGCACAGACAACCTCCTATCCCTCTGTACACGTCTTAGAGGAATCCTTCGAGCTCGCCCTTCGACCTGTACCGCGATTCCGGCGTAGCTTGCACATCATTGCCGAGAAAGCGACGGAGGAGAAGATGGCGTGGATGGAAACGATGATCGATATGTCTGATGGCCATGACGGTGACGAGTGCGAGTACAACGATGGCCCCCAGATTATGGGTGCTGCTCCGCTGGTCCCTCACTTCCGTTAAAGCCAAATCCTCTCCGAGCGGTATGGAGGATGGAGTAGCTGCAATTGCAGGCTGGGAATCGTCAAATCTCCACACCGAGCGCTCGCAAACTTGCTGGCTCCTCGCTTACGACTGCCTGGGAGAAGTTGGGCAAAATGGACGTTTTGGCCTTGGCTTTGTTTCTTCCACTCGCTCTGAGTCTTTTTCCCCTAATATATCAGCCGCAGATCCATTAGGAATTGCTCTATTATTGAGCTTCCCGGGCTGATTCCTACTCGGATTGGCCACGTCACGTATACAAACCAGAGCACGAACGCTAGCACTAGCACAGGCATTTAGGCTGGAGCACATCATGCTCGCTAGATGGAGCACATGGTGCCCGTAAGCGAACTCAAGCACCGTTAAGGATCGACTAACTTGGCCTCTACTGCTGCACGCTACTCCGTCGCGATACAAGGTCGACCGCACTACATTGTGTTATACACTTCTCGTCCAGTTTCGGTGGATATACATTCGATCTCTCGGATCTTGCTACGCTTTTGGCTTCTTGCTAGAGATCCAGGCTGAGAGTGGGGCTGAGGATGTAACGGTCAACCAGGGACAAACGTAGCATCCAGATCTGGATTACAAAGAGGAGTAGAATCTTCTTCAAACTCCCGAGACCGAGCAAAAGTAGGATTGTCTGGTCCACGGTGATTGCTTAGATCGGCGACGGCTCGCGCATCGAATGTCGGTGGGCACCCATCGCTCGCGTGGATGGAACGACTGCGAGCAGTCTCTCGCGTCTGTGTAACAAGATGTGTAAGCCGTCGTCGATTGCAAACCGTCGTCCTGTCGTAGCTCCATATCTCTATGAATGTCTATACAGAAGTGATGATGCTACGAACTCGTCTGTCAACCCAGACGGGCGTAATGACTAGGGATATCCAGGGCCGTATTGGACAAGACCGTCTCGATCGGTCTTTTAGAAGCTCCTATTTCTACTTCGACCGTAAGATTCCACGATCCTCCCGACCATCGAGCTCCGCTTTGGGATTGAAAGTACCGTATATGCAGTCTCAATTCCTCGAATAGCACGTCTCCGTCATCGAAGCACTATAGTATTAGGAACAAAGAGTCGAAGGGTAGGCAAAATGCGGGCCTGCTGGAAGACTTAAGCCGCCATCGCTCTACGTCACAGAACATTGACGAAGATAGCCTGATGAATCACGACGTCCATTCTCTGCCTTTGCTTGACCGCGATGTTCCTCGCTGTCCCCTGGGACTCTGGGACTTACGCATATTTGCTACAATAGATTGGTCAAGTTGCCGAATGATTTCGTACACTTCAAGCAAAAGGTCTTGCTTTTGAACAATCCCATCCGTACCAACTCAGTGGCGAGATCTCCCCGTCTCTAGTATATTCTCACTCGCAATCTCTTTCCGGCAACCATGAAATGGATTTTCATTCAATTCAGCGGGGACAGCGTGGTCAGCGTGGCGAAATTGCTCTTCCGACGCAGATCTCAATCGCGCTGGAATGTATACCTAACATCCGGATTCAGTAAACGTAGATTCGCATTCAAGCAAGATGCTGCTGCACGAGAGACCGCAACTGCCCGCCACTGTAGCAGTGAAGAGAATGCGCAAGTAAAGCGTAAGGAAAGGCTTGCTTCGTGTAGGTAAGCGCCTCGAACAGGTGATACTGCAAGTCTTGATCATGCACAGCTGTCTCGCCAGTGTACGACAGCACCACTAGTCACGCAGCAAAATCGCGACCTACTCAATCTCAGTCATATGGCCAGTTGATGTCGAAGTTGCTCTCGGTTCGGCCAACGAGCCACCGATAATTCGCCTCAGTCTCGACTGGTCATTCTCTTACTTGAGTCTCGGCGCTCTGGACTGGCGTTAGTAGTTTGGCCTATGCGTGAAACTCGTGTGACCTCAACTGCGAAGGTGATTGTTTCTAAGAAGCGGTCCAACGTAGTGTCTAAGCGACTGTCCACTTCCCGTCCATTCTAGCCGTATGGCTCGGCATGCTGACTACGAGAGGCCCCTCATCGTGAGTAGTATGCATTTCGCAATCCGAAACGTGATAGACTTTCGTATATCCGGGTCCGCGTTGGTTCGACATCTCGAGCAGTAGTAAATTTCACATGTTCAGCAGTGGTAGACCTTATACGTTTAGTAGCGGCGTGCATCCCTGAGTGACGTAAGGACTTAGACACAATCTCGGATATAGCATGTCTTGCGTTCGCGTAGAGAGATTGTGATGGAAGATTTTGACGTGACGTTGAAATAAGGAGCTTCGCTTGGGGCCGAGAATCAGGCATCCAGGCATCCACTGCCAGGACCAATTTTTTCGCCGCGAAAGGCCGCAAAAAGCTCCGACCGCGTAGCTTGCAGCGGCGGCACATTCAACAATTCCCACAGTAAGTCACACCAAATATTGAGAGCTGCTTTATCGAAATCTACAGTCTCGGCGTTATATATGGTGGCCGCCAAGATTTCTTGCTGCGGGGCGCGGCTGCCTGAAGACGAGGTATAGACGCGCAGACAGGACATCCAGAGACAATATCACATGACCTTGACTTGGCATCGCACTGTACAGTGACGGAAATGGACATCACCGACGCTACGGACACCGCCATCGTACCCGCCGTCGCTCATCCACATGAACGCGACTTGCTGCACCTCCAAAGATGGTTTGATACGCTGGCGGGAACCCCACTCCGCCCTGCAAACTCCTCACACCAGCAGCCACTTCCCTCCGACTGTGCAATCCTGCGCATCGTCTCGCTTCATCCCGAAGGGCAACATCAACAACATCTTCCTGTCCTGGCAGCATCTTGCACCTCAATCCCGCGGGAGAGAGCTTCACTCGATAGCCCTCCACCACCGGCGGTGATAGCATGGTCTTTGGCCCATGTGGATCTCGGAGCCGGCGCCATAATGCTGTTCCTCGACATCTCCAACAGCGACGACCAAAATGACTTTCCGCTCAACGATGCAGCAGATATCACACCGCATGTGATTGCCGACATGGAGGAGAAGCTCCGCAAGCTTCTCAACATGCAACATCTTGCCGCCGTTGAGGTCCGCCATATTCGCTCTCCTCAAGAATCGAAGCCCACGGGTTTGTGGCGGATAGCGAAGGTTGCCATTCTCATTCTTATCCAACACTTCCTCGTATCCGCAAACAAAACCGCGAAACAAGACACCGTTTCCGTCTGGGAGGAGACCCTTCCCGCTTTCAACACCGTGGATGAAGTTTGGGAGTTTGCAGTTCGGTCTGCGGGGGATGAGCGGGAAGCCAATTTAGCTATGGAATTCCGTCGAGCTATCTCGAACGACCAGCTCCTCCCAGCCATCCCAAACGAAAAGTCACCCAAACCTGACTGGAGCAGAGATCCTCTCTCGGCCATCTCCGAAGACAACACAGCCTCATCACCCACGATCTCGGAAACCATGATTGACGTGTTTCGTCAGGAATACCCTCTTACGCTTTCCAAACTCCAACACTGTCACCGCCTTGGCGACGGAGAAATGTCCGACGACCATGACGATCAAGACCACACACACACCCTCTCCGCCGAGCTCGATCGATACATCTCCGAAGCCCAAACCGCCGAGAGCCTCCTTGCACAGTTCCAATCTCTGAGATCGCAGCACTTATTACCACCGTCCTCCAACAACACAAAGGCGCTCGGATCGCAGTCCGAGGCAGCAAAGGCGGCGAGTCCCTATCGCAAGAAGAATTCAGAGGAGCAGTTCATCGGCAAAATGAGAAAGAGCGAGCACGGACAGGAGCACAAGCCCGATGTGCCGGCACGATGTGCTACAATGCCAACATCAGGTCCACTCTCGTCGTCGCTTTCGTCGTTGGAGAAGGTTCACTCGAATATACATGCAGAAACATTGCGCATCATGCGCTTCAGGGATGACGACGATAGGCAGAGAAGGGAGCAGAAGGTGGATGTCAAGCGGGAGAGGTGAACTTTGAGTAGGACCTACACGAAACCGGACAGGACCTGCTGCGATTGTGATATTACAGGTGTACAGGAGATAGATATAAGCGAGAAGTACTCTTTTGTCTCTCGGTCCTTGGGAGTTCGCGCAAGTATACAAAAGAGCTGGAAGCTCGAAGTCCATTAATCGAGGAGCACCGGTTTAGTCGGTACAAACCGGTTTTGTTCTTCGTCTTCAAAAGTCTGCCGAAATGACAATAATGTCCACCTTCTCTCAGGCTCTTACTAGCATGTCCCCCCAGAAGACACCTGCAAATGGTGATCTAGCGTTAGGAATGGGTGGTCCGTGCAAATCTCATGTACCTACGTGGTCCGTGTTAGCGCTACACGAGTTTTGCACGGACCATCTGCCACTCTGTGCCTTCTTTGAAGGTATTGAAAGAAGATAGATAGAATAAGTTGGACGAAGGAGAGGGAGCGAGGAGGCACAGAACTTCTTCGGGAAAGAAACTCGAAGATAAGGTAGGCTCTCAGGGCGAGGGGAGGAGGTTTCACCTTCGGGAAGGGAGGTACGTCCCAAGAGAGGTTTTTGGTGTGTTTTGAAAGCATACAAGTATCGTCAAGGAGATCTTTGAGGGCAGAGAGAGGTATCGAAACCGTCTGGGATTGAAGCGGGCAGTAGCTTGAAAATTGAAGTTGGGCAGGGCCTTACGAGTTTGAAGGGAATCGTACGCAAAGATCATAGACCCTCGGTGGATCAAACAGGTTTATTATCCAGGCAGATGCCATCATCTCAAATTGAAGTGCATGGAAGCAAACCCAGAGTGGTGGCACGTCTGCCAGGAAAAGCAAAAGAAAAGCGGACCAGGTCAGTCGAGAACCGTACCAAATTCCGTCCTATCAGACTGAGCGAGAATGAGACGACAATGAGATAGAATTGGGACTCGTTGTTCAAGAACAAAAGCCGTCTATCGATTCAAATAAACAAATAGCCATGTCAGAATATATATACTCTACCTAAAAAACCAGCCCGGCAGCGCACCCAAAACAGCTTCTCGCGCCAGGCGAGCTTCTTCCAAGCGTTGGGGATCCGTCTCCGCGGAGACTCGCTCGTCAAATTGAGCCAAAATACGGCTCCCAGCCGTTTCGGCGGCGGCGGCGGTAGTGGTAGTGGTAGCGGTGGTGGTGGTGGTGGTGGCAGCAGCAGCAGCAGCAGCAGTTCTTCGAGGCTTTTTCGGCCTCTTCGCCACTGGCGAGGGAGGAGATGGAGAGGGAGAGGGTGCGGCTCTCTTTTGCCGCGAGCTCCTTCTTGGCTCTGGCGCAGGCGCAGGCGCAGGAGCTGGAGCTGGAGCTGGTGGAGGTGGTGGTGATGGAGATGGAGATGCCTCGGCGGGACTCAGGAGGCTCTGTCCATTGCCATTACTTTGCGATGGCTGCATCTGCAGCGACAAAGAGGTCTCATCGTCCGGCAAAAGCGGCGATCTCCCAGCACGGCCCGTTTCAATTTCCGCCCCCGTCTCATCGTCGTCTTCATCATCGTCAGGCAGCGATGGTTCCACTTCTTTGCCGTGAGAGGGAACGGGTGCAGCAGACCTCAGACTCACGTCGTTATTGGTCTGCTGCACCACGGTCTCCTCTCCGGGATTGGTGATGAAGCTGGAAGATCCAGCAAGCGCCGATGGTGCGTCCATGATGAAAGTGGAGGAGCGAGGAGCGGCGGAGGGAGGAGCGGCGGAGCTAGCTGTGGACTTATGCTTTACAACAACAGCGGCCACATCCCTCGGCGTCAAGAAAGGCCCACTGGCGCCAAAAAAACACCTCGTTCTCACCTCCGCAGCGAGCTGTTCCGCGATCGCAGCATAGTCGGACCCTCTGGTCTGCGAACTCAGCGTTCCCATCTTCTCTAACAACCCAAAAGACCACGCATCAGGCGGCGCACGATTGTCTGGGATCCGCCAATCCCATCCAGGCCAATTGTTCTCGACCCGTCGACGAGCATTCTGATGCCGAGTTGCCTGCGTCGAGGCGGATTGGAGGGCGGCGGAGAGCGGGAGCGCAAAACGATCATCTTGCTCCAAGGCCGAGGCCTGCTGAGGCCATTCGCGCCTGTAAAGAGTCCAGAAGGCCAAGATTTTCCAGCTCATGCGATCATGGAGGGGAATGTTGCTACTGAGCCAGTTGCGGACGACAGGCTCGCGGTTCGCGGGAGAGATATTGCGGAGGAGATTCTGGACAAACTGATGTGCGTAGTCTTCTTCTGTCACTGGACGATTCATCTTGGACTTGACAATGTCGATGGTGCCGGACGATTCTAACGATTCAACCTCGAGTGTGATGGTCTTGCCTGTGAGGGTCTTGAAGAAGATCTCTATACCACCGCGGAGGTGGAGACGGAGGACGAAGTGCAGTGTCGATTCCTCCTGAATGTTGTAGTCGGAGAGTGTACGGCCGCCTTCAGGCGCTGCTGGTCTGGTGGGATGCCCTCCTTGTCTTGTATCTTTGACTTGACGTTGTCGATGGTGTCAGAGCTCTCGACGTCGAGGGAGGTGATGGTATTGCCTGTGAGGGTCTTGACGAAGATATGTATACCACCACGCAGGTGGAGACGGCGGATCAAGTGGAGGGTGGGCTCTTTCTGGATGTTGTAGGCGGATAGAGTGCGGTCGTCCTCAAGCGCTGCTAGTCTGGTGGGATACTCTCCTTGTCTTGAATCTTGGACTTGACGTTGTCGATTGTGTCTGATGATTCAACCTCGAGGTCGATCGTCCTGCCAGTGAGAGTCTTGACGAAGACTCGCATACCACCACGCAGACGACTGGACGGAGAAAAGGCGAGGAAAGAGATCAACACACCTTAGCCATCATTGACAGCAGTCTCATTGTGGCGGAGCATCCCAGTATTCCTGTGGAAGTAGCGTTGTACAAAGTTGACCCCGCAAGCACGAGCACAACCGCAGCTTCGTTCCTTAGTGCTTTGTTCACAGACCGGTGCTTTCCAAACTTGAGCACAATGTGCTTTGGGACAGCCGATCTATTACAATTTCCGTTCTTCACGAGGCCAAGCTTATCACTCACATGCGAACTTCGCCATTCTATTTATCTCAAGGTCTAACTCGGACCCGATCTACCCGCCGGAATTGCATCTCCACATCTTGAAACCCAAGGTTCAACATGATCATTACCACTTGTCGAATTCGCCTGTTCTCCTCGTAGCGCCGTGGAGATTCTCAGTCCCAGACCCGCTTCGCAGTTCTCTTCCTCTTTTTTATCGATGTTCTATATACATCAACTCCACCTGTCTTCTTGAGAGTCGTTTCTGCTCCCACTCTGCTGTTCCGGCCCTGGGTATCGTCGGCGCGCCGCGCATGCCGCATGCGACGGTTCGAGGTCTGTATTAGGAGTCGCTTACGTAGAGGCTGGGCTTCACTGGACTGTGGAGTGGAAAAGCTGCAATACAGTGGCAAGCACTCGGCGAGTTCGGATAACGAGCTTGAAATGAGGCGGGGGAGGTGCGAGGTGAGCCTGAAGTGAACAAGACCGAAGAGGTCGGAATAAGCTCTTGCGGCCCTTCCCGCGTCCACGTGTCACCGAGACGTGTGACGTCGGGATGCCTACCAGAATCACGTAATCTCGGCTACACAGATGCCGATCGCAAGTGACTAACTTTCTACACGCGTTCCCTATCCTGCCACACTCTGCTCACTTCTGCAGCAGCAACACCTCTTATTCGTATTACACCTCTTCGAGTGTACACTGATTCAACGCGCGCACACAAGAAAATACAACGAGAACCCTTCGCTTCCTGATCCTCATCCTTCTTGCTCTATCGGGAAATATTCCTTTATCAGCCTCTCCCATCCCGCTATAGTCACGTCAGTATCGCTCTACGCATTGTTTCTTCCAAGCAATGAACAGAGAGCTGCGAGCATACCGTCAACGCCGCGACTGTACGCCGCAGTCAAGGAGATTGTCCAGAGGACGAGAACGAGGACCAGTAGGAAGGCCCAGACCGGTGTTGGAAAGCTGACGAGGAGGTTTCGATCCTGAGTGTCGATTCCCCCTGCTTGCGCTTGTGGCTCGGGAGGGGGACCGTGGTCGAAGCGACGAGTTGATCGGGTGCGTGGGGCCATTGCGTCTTCTTTCGCTGCCGATGAGGCAGGAGACTCGTTGTCGGTGGTGTCGGTGTCCAAAGATTCGCGCAGTTCTTGTAGTTTGTAGCTGGCGAGAAAGAAGAAGAAAAGGAAGAATGGGGAGAGGTTGGAATGATATACCGGGATGGATGGGTACGAGAGACATGCAAGCCTCTTGTCTTGCGGCTCCTGTCTCATTGCATCGGCGTAACCCTTAGCTGCGACACGCCACGAAGCCCATGTTGCAAAGCAGTTGCCACCGCTCGTAGTCAATGCAAGACAGGGTCTTTTCGCACTGTAGGGGCAATGAGAAAAGAAGAAACAGACGAGCCGTTCTGACTTGCATGACGTGGCAGACAGGAATGTCCCAGCCAGCTGCTGTCTCGTAGTCTTCCTTTTCAGGAAGTCTTATACGCCTTTTGTTCGCGGAAAGCTTTAGAACAAGTTGGTCCGTCTTCTTGCGCGAGAAACTGTGCTCACACAAATTCACATCTCTAAACGATCTACTTCCGACGTACAAGAGCGAATGGCGGTATGGATTGAATATTAATTAGACACCCTAACGAAGTGGTGGAGTTTGCGGTCCTAGCACCGGACAGTGTTCTCGGCCGCTGTCGCTGCAATCCATAAGAGCCATTGAGACCCAGACTAGTAATGATTCGGAGAGAGGAGCTAATCCACTGCTCCGTCCAGAACTCCAATCTGGGACTGTCCCTCTGTTGGAAAATGGCGTCGTTGGAAACCCTTTGGGGAGTGAACCAAATTCACCACAATTCCCGGTCTCTAGCTGGGTCCCTTCTGACACACAATCTCTTATGCAGAGTTGGCATAGCGTTCATTCCGGAGTCATGGTGGTACACAACGTCCATAGCCTGTCTATTCACGAAAAGCTCCACAGAGAAGTTACCGCTCCTACACGTAGAACAAGTATCTCCCCTTCCTTACGTTCGGTCGATCTGATCTAGCGATGTTCTCGTCCAAATGAGACAACAATCGCTAGATGTGTTGATGTACCAGACTAACGTTTCGCCGGGGCGTTAAGGGCTACTTGCGTCTCGGACGCGGCGCCGGCTGCGAGCACTGGCAGCTGACCAGGGGCCTGAACTGCCGCCCGATCCTACTCTACTGTCCCTCCTCCTGCTGCTAAATGGCAGGACGACCCGGACCACGGTCTGGGAGGGATGAAAGCTGCACCGATGGGTCTGCACTTTCCCCTCCGCGACAGGTGATGCATTCTCGAGATGGGGTAAATGCCAGGGAGCATCTCTGCATCCTACGGCCATTATGTGGCAAAATCTTCCGTGTACCTCACGCTGGATTCTATCGTGCATATGCACGGGTTCAGGCCAGCTTCTACATCTGGCACTTGGGCAAGAAGCTCAGGGAGTACATCCGTCGCGGCCTCGGGTGTTTGGCAAACCAGACATGGCGCAACAAACCGCCGCAGGCCAGGTGCCAAGGACTGCCGCATCAAGACTACTTTGCTTGCCGGATCTGACTTGAGAGGGAGGTCAAGGACAGGCAGAGCTATTGACGGCGCGGCACATCATTGACTCGTGCTTGAGGGAGTGGCTCTTCGAATGCTATTCAATTGTACCGCATGACAAGTAGCATGGCAGCACATCATGTGCTGTACGGGAATGTAACATCACATTTTGTGTAGGCGGCGCCTTGGCAAAGCAGATCCAGAGACGAAAGCCGCTTACTCGCAGGCCGTATCCCTTGAACTCAGACCAGACAAGCGGACCAAATCCAGCTTCAGAAGTTCACCTATGATCTGTCCAGGGTGTCCAGTACGGTGGCAGCAGTTGAAAGCGGGACAAGTGCAAGGCCGAAGAGAAGCAGGCTGCAGTGGTCTCGAGCTTGTGAGGGCAAATCCATACATTTCCAGAGCTATCTCCTACAGAACAAAAGGAAACCCATTTCTCTCGCAGCAAAGAGGGCACGCTTCCAACAGCTCGCCCAGTCGCCATCTCGTTCTCTGGTGCCTTGGCAACGCCGAGTCGACAATCCCGCTCCCAGTCCGCAGTATATCCTGCATTCCACTTCGGCCCGTGATACGCTGCTGTCGCCTCCGCACGTCTGTCGGACGCATGGCCGGGGTGACAATCTTCATTATTTATGCCCTCCTCAGATCTTTGCGCTTTCGCTCCCGCTCGCACTCGGCCTCGCTGCGCTTACGCTTGGACGGGGTCTGTTGGAGAGGCGTCGGCGGGTCTATGTCCATCTCTTCCGCGCCGCTGTCGATCTCGCCTTCTTCAAGTTCTCCGGATTGCTCCGGGATGGTGTATTCGCCGTGAGACACCAACGCGTGACGGCGTCTTGAGGAAGGCGTGGAAGGGACGTTCTGAGCATGCGCTTGGGCCTGCGAATGAATCCGGGCCTGAGCTTGTTGTACTTCCCCAGACAGTGTTGCTCCAAGCGAGGGGGCCTGTGTAGTGGTGGTGCTGTCCTGGGCGTGGTTCTGTGTTGCGGGCTCGGGAGACTCAGAGTGGTCGCTGTTGCCGCTGTCATGATCCTGGGCGACGGCCACCTTGACACGTCGAGGTCGCTTCTGCTGTATGGCATCGTTCTGGGCGTTGGCCGTGGGAGGACGGCGGACTCGGACGAGCTTGAGTGGTTGATCATCCGTGCTGTCGTCGACTTGCGAATCAACTTCCTCGCCGGAATCGTCGGCACTCGCACGGATCCTGATGATCTTCAATGGTTTCTCCCCTGCACGAACAATCCTCTGCTGACCATCTTCGGTGCCAGAGATGTCTGCCTCGTGGAGAACTCTGATGACCTTGAGACGCTTGCCGACGCTGGTCGTCTTGCCATGACCGTTCTCCTCACAGCCCGTGCCGCTCTGATTGTCCTGCTTCTTGCCCTTGCCTCTCTTACCCCGTCTGACTCCATGCGGCTGCACGATCTCCAACTCGTCCTCCTCGCTCCCACCTTCATTGTCCCATACATCGCCTTGACCGACATCGACATCCTTTCCCTGGGTACTCTCCTTGTTCTTGCCCGATTTCTTGTCCTTCTTCTGCTTTGTGCTGCCTGCGGACTTCTGCTTCGCGCTGCTCGCGCTGTCTTTCTGCTGCTGCTTCACTAGGGACTCTAGTGCTTCCACGACGTTAAGCGCAGCCTTCACTTTGGCGCTGTGCTTGTCCGTGCCCTTTCCGCCTTTCTTCAGAGCCGACTGCACGTTGGAGTTGAGGTAGGAGTCGGAGCTGAGGAGGTGCATGGTGTTTGGATGGAGCTCCATGCGGGCGGTTACCGTGGTTACGGAGTTGAAGTTGTACTGTGGAGGCGGCTGGCGCAAGGCCTGCAGCGCGGCGTTGAGGCGTGCGAGGACGTCCATGCTGGGCAAGTCCGTACGCTGGGGATGTTGGTGTGATGAAGAAGGATAGAGGTGTGCTGTGTTGTCGTGTTGGCCAGCCAGGGAGAGGTCTCAGGTGCCGGTGGTGGGGCCGTCAGAGTGAGACATGAGGCGTCAGTCACGTCAGTGGCCTTTCGACAAGCCAGCTCGCGTCGCTCGTATCGAGGTTATTGATAGGGTCGGGCGGTATACGAGGGTCCCTCTGCAGCAGACTCGAGGCGACTCGATAGCATGCTCGCGCAGCGGGTCGGCATCGTCGTGGAATCATCGGGGGCGGTCGCAGGCGGTCGCAGTCGGCGGGATTTGGCTGGCTGGGATGTGCGGACACGATGTTGCATGACGGTGACAATATGAGATACTGAGCAGATGAGGATGTCTCGATTGGAGGTGGCATTGACGGTCGTCGTTGGTCGGAAGTGCTCAAATGAGGTGTGAAAGCTGCAGGAGAGAGGGTGCTGCAGGACAGAGCGGCGGGGTTCCGCGGTCACGTGGTAAGGCGACTAACCTCCGGCGGGCGCGTTGTCTCCATCACACCTCGGCGGCGGTGGACACCTCGGCGGCTTCTCCCGTGGTGCGGGATACACCACCACAACATCACATGCAACAGATCTCGACGGACGATCTACCGCTTACCACATCGTCTCCCAGCGAAGCTCTTCAGGTACTGCAGAGATGCAATCACACTCGCTCGTGTACTACTACTACCACCACCCACATCACACTCCATTATTGCTATTACCGCATCGAGACGCTAACTCTTCTCCATTATGTAGACGCCTGAATGCCCTGGAAATTTTCTCGCCCAGCCACACGCGGCGCCGCGCTCGATATCCTCCACGCCCGCCGAGAACTGCCGTACTTGGCGCAGTAGCAGACCAAAAGTGCGAGTCGACCGGTGTCCTGGCCAGGTTCGACCCTGCTACGAACAATGCCTCGATCTCCCTCTCTCGCGATCAGCCTCAGCCCACAGATAACACCCATATCAGCATCGATTCCACGAACGTTTTGACCGCCATCTCGTTTCAAGACACCATCTCCGTCTCTACGGGCGGGATATGTCTACCATACGTATTTACCTCGTTGACGCCTCGTACGTAAAATCAATGGTCCGAAAATGGAAATCTTCCGCCTCGACTGCGTCGGAGCACCTTGGTACACAAAATGACCGCATCTTCATATAATCTGCCAAACCCTCTACAGGATACTTTGGCACGGATCCTTCACCGTCAAAAGACGCACGCAAATCGAAGGACAAATGTTTTGAAAGAAGACCTAAACATGGGTTGCTAGAAAAGTGAGCGGAAGCACTGCCAAGAAAAGCACCATGGGCCTTCCAGCGCCAAGAAAAGCACAGTGGGCATCCAGCGCCAAGAAAAGCACCATGTGCTCTTACACCCACGCTCCACGCCACAACCCACACCCCCCACAATCACGATTCAACGTCACGATCACATACGCATTCTCTCATGCCACCGTACTCCGAATCCTCCTCTTACGTACGACATGATTTATAAATGAGAGCGAAACTAAGGCAAAGCGGCGGGCGGGCAGCTTTTCGACCCAATAGTGTAGGGAAAGGTTGCGTTGTCTAGAGGCACGTATATGATGAAGCTTTGCAAATGCAGAAGAGAAGCAAATGAAGCGAGGACTACCTACGACCGGGAGCGGCCGCAGCAGCAGCGGCAGCGCCGCAGCAGTAGCAGCAGCAGCAGCTTCAGCTGCCTGTGCTCGCAGGATGTCGGACGCGCGGATGGCGGTCACTGCTGAGCGAAGCTGTGCGACGTATCGCGTGCGATTCCTGGTGCCATGTTGGTGCTACGTCAGCCAGCAGAGCGTCGGCGATGCCGGCGCCCTACTCGTCGAGCTCAGGCTCTGACTCCGCCTAAGCTGCCGACTTCGTGGCGGCCAGCCGGCTATACTTGTCCAGAGCGTTCTCCGAATCAGAGGACTCAGCCTTGCCGACGGACTCTTTCTTGGTGGTTGGTGTGGCGACCTCTCGCTGGCATCCTTCGCTGGGACTGAATTGTCGTCATGGATTGAATCACAGATGCAGTAATCTGAGATTGAATCGCCGAGGATGAGGGTGAGGGTAAGCACCGGCAAGGAAAAGAAAGCACCAAAGCAGACAGAACGTACTGACTCGGACTCTGACTCCGACGTGGTTGTATGATGGAGGGATCGTTGCAAGAAATATACTGAAGCGGAAGCTAATCGAGCAATTTCATAATCGCGGACTCGCGCGGAACTTCGTTCCAATCAAGGCTCCATTCCTTTCATATATCCCGCAGTCGTTCAATCAGTCAATCGGAACCTACGGTCCAGTGTGCACATGTCTACTGCATAATGTAAAGAATCCTCAATTGCCCGCAGGAATGCTACGATAGGAACCTTCAAAAACGGCAAAAGGAAGAGATCAGCGCCATCTATTTCCGATTGGCGACCCGGCGAGACGGTGTGAGGTCGGAGAGATTGGTAGGAGTGAATCCTCATCCAAGCTCACGAAGGCATCACGCAGAAGCAGGGAGTATTGATTACCCCAAGTACAAGACAAGGTTCAATTGACGAGCTATGAGTTTGCATACCAGCCAAATTCTTTCCCTCGTGAGGGCAAGGCTAGACCATCTCATTTTGCCCTCGTGAGAGAAAGGCCAGATGAGCGCATTTGTTCTTGTATATCTCGCAGACGAGTAGCCATTGTGCTACAGACTTCATTTCTCATCGCCGCGAGAAGCCAACGTCTGAGGTACTTCGATCCTCTTGTACGCCCGATGGGGATGCTCTATTGGACATATCAGTGAGATGATGGCAAGCGGGGGAAGACAGGGGGAGAAGACTACAAGACTGACCTGTGTGAGCGCCGCGGACGACGAGTGAATGGGAGAAACAGCAGCTTCTTACCAAGAATCGAGCATGGCGGCGAGACTATCGACAGCCCTGTGCGAAGTTGGCATCAGTTCGAACGCAGTCAACGAGGCAAGAGCAAGCGAGGACCAGGGCAACATACCATCCGGCATAGTCATTCTTCTCGTCAAAGGCAAAGCTCTCGTGATTCCACTCCCAATGCGTCAGGAGAGCCGGCGGCCAGGAGAGGTCGTCGGGGTTCGAGGCACGATACTGCGCGAGACCCTTCTTGATGAATTCGACAAAGACGGACCATGCTTTCTTCTGCTGCTCCAGCGCGAGGGCGTCAGCTTCGGTCAGGGGGACAATTTGGCTGGAGAAGCGGGCGTTGGAGACGTTGACGCGGGCTCGGCTGCCACCCCCGCCGCCACTGCAAGGCTTGAGAAGGTCATCGAGGGTGGGTCGCTGGCCGGTGAAGGCTTCGCGGCGGACGAGGAAGTCCATGACGGTGTCCACGAAGGCTTTGCCCGAGTTCTGACCCCAACTCGTTAGCACTCGCTCTTGTTTCTGAGATGATGTCCGGTTCTCAAAAGGCCGAGAAGATGCTTACCGGAAGAGCTTGAGCGTCAGGCTCGATGACAAAGGAGACGCGGCCACGCTTGCGATGCTCGGCGCGGAGATGGTGTTCCTTGTCCAGCAGCTTCATCTTGAACTCGCCATTGCGGACACACTCCACCAGCGCGACCGAGACCAGCACCGCGTTGTTTCCATCTTCATCCTCTCTGCATTTGATGAGGCCGTTTGTGCCACTGTCGGAGAGGAGGCGGGTGATAGCGCCATACAACGACTTCAAGCAGCGCTTGGTGATGCGACGGCCGGCAGCGATGGCCTCGGCGCCCGTGAGGGTGTTGATGAAGAGGTCCAAGAAGGTGGCCAGGTTGGGAAGGGCGTCGGCAGCGTAGGCGTGGGTGATGCCGTGGACGATGATGTCTTCTTTGGAGACGCCGTCGTACCAGAAGCGCATGCCTGGGGTGTGTTATGTGAGTGATGCCGGCGTGCTGAGGCGGAAGAGACTTACGGTCGGAGATTTCGGGCTTGGTCCGACGGAGGAAGATGAGGTTGTAGTCCTCGTCGGAGGAGGGAACCTCTTCGCTGGAGATGGAGTCGTCATCGGACGGAGGCTCGCGCGGCATGGCGGCGGTTGGTAGGGAAATGGACTTTGAGGGTAGGATTGGTAGAGTGGATTGATTGTGATAGGAGTCGGTGAAAGGGATGGACTGCTGTTGAAAGTTGTTGCGGGGAGAGAGGAATTTGAAAGAGTGCGGAGAGCAAAGGCTCGGCGGTCGGCGGTCGGCATCTCGATGCTGCTCGGGGTCCGCGAGTGTTGCGCTGGCAGCGCTGCATGTATCCGTACGCTAGCCCAATTCGGCAGTCGGGCTTCACACCGAGGAGGAGGGACAGCTTGCATCTCCTCGATGATGGGATCGATCTCTTTACACACACGAGCCGCACACGGACGCACGTGTCGGCGTGGCCATGTCGTGTCCTGACGTGTCCTGGTCCCCCCGCTCGGCCTCCGCCATCTCTTCCCCGTTCATCCCCGTTCATCCCCGTTTGTCACTCCCCACCACTCCATCCTCCCCCTTCATCACACTACTATCAAGTGTTCAGTGCACAGCATTTGGCTCACCACATACTTCTATCCATACATCCAAATCCTCGCCAGCAACGAGCGCCGCAGCCATGCAGGAAGCACACGCCCAGCTTGCCCAAGCCATCGGCTTCGCGACCCAGGCGGGATACTACAACGCAGCAAAGGTAACCTTGACCTTCCAGCTATGCCTTCTCCGCACAGACTCGTGTTGTATGCTGCAATTCGTATGCTGACGTTGACACGTTGTCCACCAGATCTTCGGTCCCAAGAGCTTTGACGATGCCAACCGTACGTGCAACGAAGCCGGGTCTTTCGCAGAAGCCAAATACATGTACCGCTGGCAGCAGAGCCGTGTCGTGCAATTCTGTCTCTCCCAAGGCATCCATGATCCCGCGAGCCTCGAGAACGAAAGCGATGACCGCCTTCAGCTCGCTGTCCAGGCTGCCTTCCCATGGAAGGTCCAGATGGCCCAGAAAGAGATGGCAGATGCAATCGCGAGGATCCGTAGGTCCAAGACGGACTGGCTGGCTCGATACCAGAACGGCCAGTATAACAAGTCAAGTCTCAAGTACTGGGACCCGGTGGACTTGGTCGCCGAGCCGGAGGATGAGGAGGAGGCGGCGGATGGTGAATATCTTCTCTCCACAATGACATTAGGACACAGCTTGGCTGACTGACACTCCTCCAGCCCCGCCCAGAGAACCACCACCGCGGCTTCCACTCTTCCAGACTCCAGCACCGCAGACCCTACCACATCGAGGTCAGCTGTCTCAGGACCGATCGTTCCGCCCCGATGCCTCGTTTGTCAGCATCTCCGGCAGACCCTCTCTTCCTAACAGCCCGGTCGACCGCCAGCACGCACCACAATCGCCGCCACCGCGGGAGACACCATTCCAGCCACTGTCCCCATCGACTTCGACCATCTACAACATCCCGTTTCCGTCGCCGGCGAAGACCACTCCCTCCAAGTCGACGATCTCCGGCACGCGGTCTACTCCTGTCAAGCGTTTCAGCCCTCTCAAGTCGCCGGGCGGAGGCAAGTCGTCCACTCCTGTCCCGTCGCCATCTGTGGGACAGAAGACCATGCCAGCAGACGTCTCGACGCCGACTCGGACCGTAAAGGCCCAGACGCAGAATGTGCCCGACGGCGACGAGGTGGACAAGGCGATCGCGGAGGCGCTCGTGAAGCTGGAGAATATGGGTATCTGAGATGCAACCCTGGGTGTGCAAGAGCGGTGCAGACTTTGGGGAGACACACAAGGTTGGCTTCGGGGTGCTCGTAGGATGTGATGTGGCTTCAGCTTGGAATACTTCGATGGCTGGATATGGCATACCCCGAGCGGTGGAATGTCGTCGAGTCGAAAGGGTTTGCCCTGGTCTCTGACGACTGTGCTGTCATGGCCAAGTAGTACGAGCAGAGGAATATCACTCGCCCTCAACGTCATTTGACCTTTGTACCTTGCTCAGAGCCTTCGACCGTAGTATACAACTTCCCATTGTGAGAGTCCGTTACCCTAGTGTTCGCCGCGCCTTCTCCCAGATGTTCATGATCCATCTTGCTGGCCTTACTCGATTGACCTCTCTGTCGCTCCCTCTTGATCTCGTGCACAAGCAAGACGCCCGATCTGCTTGACAGGAATGTCTCCGCCGCGGCTTCCGCCCGGAAGGTTATCGGTCGAGGCCGGGAATACGAAGGAGGTACCGATGCGTGTGGGGATGTGGACCGTCGCCGATGCAGAATGAGTGGCCGGCGGACCCTCCGCTGTCTGGCTGTCTGGCTGGTACGAAAGGGTGAGAGTGACGGGAGGGGCGGTGGAGAGAAGGGAGTTGAAGTCAAATTAAGATCCTGCAGAGTGCAGAGGTGTCTCACCTCCCAGAAAATGTGGGGTATGTGCGCACGTGGCGCGGGGTATGGGGGTCCCATGGCCCACAGCACCTTCCATCTGACGCGCGTAGCTCTGACTCATGCGCGGGTATGGGGCGGTCCACAGCACAACGCTCCGATCCGCATTCACATGTTGCAGCGCTCGACGAATGGCTGTTTGTATGTGGAAATCCGCAGAGCGCAAGGGCGTCCCCCATTAACCCTCCAGCTCTCTCTTTCCGCCGCTCGCCAGGTCAGTCACCGGTGAACTGGAAGCATCGAGGTGGGTGGGTGGATGGGATGACGTCGGAACTCGGCGTGCGGGTAATTTACCCTCTACAACAACCTGTGTGACCGGTTGCCCTCGGCCCGTTTCTGGACTCAGTCACTCAGCCCACGGTGCCTCGGGCCTCCTCGAGGCAGGCACGTCTCACCTCCACGCAAGCACTCTCTCCCTCCCGCTGTACGCAGACACCTCTGGCATCGTCGACCTGTGTAATCTCCGACACGGCCCTCATTGTCTTGCAGAAATGCGTGATCCGAGATGCGCAGAGAGTGGATATCGTCTTATCCCCCCCTCAGACTCCGATGATGCCCTCAGTTGCGCAGCTGGTCGCCCACCCGCGGACCCACACACCCCACCAACACTGGACCTACGCACACCATCAACACAGGACCCGATCACCTCACCCGAACAGCTGCGTCTCCATCAGCTCCATCTCATCAATCAACGCCCACGGTCCACGATACGTGATGCCGCCAGGACTGTCCGTTCTTTCCTCACCGACGACCCGCCGGCCAGTTTCCCGGTCGCGATACTCATCGATAGAACTCCTTTCGCGACTTGAGGGAGGCAGCTGCATTCCCCAAGAGCGCATTACGTGAAGGACAGCCACCTCTTCGGACACTGTAAGACAGACACTCTCGTGGCAAGCAGATATAAGGACGGGCGCAGCTGAGCATCAACCCCCGCTTCTCCATGGATCTCAGCGGGCCCCCGTTGGGAGTTCCCATCCGTCGAAGGAGATTGGCGGGTGAGCTCTGCAAGATAGGTCTTTCGCAAGCGACGAGTGGACGACCTCTTGAGTGTGCACCGGAGGAGTTCTCGAATCCCCTACGACCATTTGGGACAACCGTCAGTACAAGGGGCCTCCAATGGATCCTTAGTGACCGCGATGCCGTCTTTGAGAATCGAGAGTCTGCGTTGGGAAGTTTGGGATGACAAACAGGAGTGGACAGCTTGCATGGAATTCGGTGCAGGAAGAGACCTACTGGAATGCTCTGGATCCGCTCTTCACAACCATCTCAATGCCCGAGCGCAGACTGCGAAAAGGAAAGCGGTTCCATTTCCCGGGCTCTGCGCCACATCACGGCGTGCTCAGTGAGATCCCGTACAACACCGATACCGCCGCAATCTTCAGCTGGAAGCGAATCGAACTCCAGTCCCAGGAGACCCAAACGTGTTTCATACGAGTGGCACGGAACGGCAGTGAAGATCCTCTGTGGTGAATAATTGGATGCAGAACGTGCACAGTCTCGAGATGATACGGCATGACAAGCGCCATCGTTTGCCTGTGGGAGGAATGGCTCATGCCATCATGCAGTCTTTCATTGACGTCTTCGCACGAATCGCCGCAAAGATTCGAATGCACGGCGACGGCAGCTTCCAACCGGCTGAAAGCGTGGAAATGGTGCGTTGGTCAGTCTGCGGAAGACGTAGAGTTGGATCACAGAGGATAGGTCATCACCAGTCCCACCACGCTGCTCACGGCCAGCGGGGTTGCTAGCGTTGCATGATGAGCCCAACGTTCGCGAGAAAATTCGAGCAGGGAGCATCTCTTGTGAGCTGCTCCCCCACGAGACCGAAACACTAGCTTGACCGGGAACAGATTCCCCGATTTGCTTGCTGCACCATCCTACTCGTGTCCTGCGCCTGGATCGCAACTACAATACTTCAGCCAGGTTTCCTCGCCCCGTTCAAGACGCCATCTGCCACGGACTCCTCTGGTGGACCGTGAAGGGAAGTTCGAGGTATGCATAATATTGGAACTTGAACAGCAATCTCGAGGTTGAGTCGTCCGGATGGCCTCCACGATCATCACGAGCGGCAATATATCCCCTTCCTTGCTGTCATTCTACACTGTCTGATGATAGATGATCGAAGACCGAGACCTCAACGCGGAAGTTCAGGTCGGCACAAGTGGACCCCCAACACTCCTCTAGGCAGCGATCGAGTTTGGCGCAATCCAGGATCGACTTAAGTCGCAATGCGGCACCGCAGCTTTGACATCAAAATCGAGCACCTTGTTCAGGGTCATCGCGAGGCCTCTCTTGCCTTCCTGCGCGCAACGTTGACGCAACCAGGCTACGAATCCCGACAACCGAACGCCTTTGCAAAGCGCTTCCAGCTGCGAGTGGGATTTCGGGTCTGGGTTTGCGGGTGTGAAGCGGTTCTATGCTGCTATGCACAGGAGCAGCAACGAGAGGGAGGGCGACGGCAACCCGAACAACATGACTCCTGCTATGATGGCCCAGTACTGGCAACGCATGCAACAATACTTTATGATGATGACCGCGGGAAACAACATGGGCATGATAGGCGGTATGCAGAACCCACAAATGATGCAGCAAATGATGGCCCAGCGTGGTATGAAGCCGCAAATGATGCCGCCTTCGGAAAGCCTTAAGCGCAAGCTCCTCTGAAGTCAAGAGCTTCCCGGTAACGCTGACGAGCGGAACATGACGCATCGCAGGATACGCATCCATGAGCCTCGCTCAGGCAGGTCGACAGCTACAGAAAGAGAACGCCACTTTCCTACTGTCGTCGAAACTCAACTACAAGCTGGCCTTGTTGCTAACGCAACCCACGGCCGTTCTACTGGCGTATTGCAAGCGGGAGGCTGCTTCCAATGCGGGTCTCTTCCCACGCATTCACGCCTCGATTGCCAGTCCCAGCATTTGGTTGAGACCATTCCTGCTCCATTGCGTCCCCAGTACGATCCGACTTGCTCGGGGCTGTCCAGGTTGGGCATCGCGCAGGCTGGCACTGAGATGGACATGGAGCCATCCTCGTTTTGCACGCGAGTCACCCTGCCCATCTCCGGATGACGTGTTGCTATGCGCACCTCCGCGACCCCTCGCGCCTGTTGCAGTCACTGTGTCCGGGAGTCGAGCTGTATTCTCCAATCTGGAATGCGCCTTGAGACAAGCAGATTGGATGCCCGCGACCCAGCTTGACGGCCCGGTATGGCTTGTGGCAGAAAGGAGCAAGTCCGTATCACCTCAAGCGTCGACGGCATTTGCGTCACTGTTCTCCACTCACCACTCTCGGGGCCTCTTCGTCCCAGTCATTACAAGAGTCTGGATAGAATATACAGGCGGTGGAGGTAAATCGGACAGAGAGCAGACTCCCACCGAAGATTCATTACACCCCAGTTGCAGAGCTCCACTTGGACCGGATTCACCGGAAAGAACTCGAGTTCTACAAGATGCCCACAATGAGACAATGGAAACGCCTGTTGCGAGCAATCGGCGACATCTCATCAGCAAGAGCTGCACGAGTAACACCCGTCTCGATTCCTCTTTCCCTAGCGTTGACCAAGCGGAAGACTTTCTCCCATGGAGCACTTCGCTTACTTTATGGAGTGCTCTCGAGGCCGGCCCCATGCGTTCACAGCTTCTCCAGGTCCCAACCGAGAACCACACTTCTAGCTTCGGAGACCCAAATTACCTTAACCTTAAGGTTGATCACGATCTGGTACAGCCAGGATGCTCCAACATCCGATGCGGTCAGAAGGAATCCTTGGAATCATCAACTTTCCACCAATGGCGGATAATGTTGAAGCTGGCAAGCTTTGCCCACAACAAGCGGCCTCAGTGATGATTCTCCAAATCACGAGATGAAGTGGCTCTTCCCGGGCGAAGCTGGAGTCGGAAAGCAATAAGAAATCCGTCGAAACGATCGCCACGTCTCGTGCCTTTGGTGGTGGGACTGCCCGTGCAAATACAAACTCTCCACGCCCGACTGAATGCTTCCGCCGGATAGGCAAAAACATGTCTTACATTCTATGACCTCGTACGCAACGCAAGGGCTTTTCGTTTTCAGCATCAGCCTTCGCCCCTCAGCGGTAGCAAGAGTGCAGCAACGCCTGCGTACACTAACTCCCTCGTCCATGAGCTGCCCACAGAGAGCGCTGACCATTTGCCTTGTCGGGCAGACAGCTGCAACAGCTACATCATGAACAGACGCGGCAGCAACACTGCACGTCTGTCTCGCATCGACAACGGAGGCACCTCCCTGCTAGACCATCGGACGTCCGGCTTCTGCTCCGCCTCTCGCATGCCGCTATGTTTTGGCGATGCCTATCCGCCAGCCGCAGCGCCGCTCACGTCCAGTAGTGACCCCATGCTCCTTACCGATCTATTGAAGCTTCTCGCCATATTCGTTCAGCTGCTCTAAGGGGGAAATGGTCCAGATCCAACGCGCGTGGTATACGCCTTCACAACTCCAGAGACGAGTTCAGCATTACGTCGAACTTCGATTTATTACCAAGGTTCGCGCGACCCACAGAAGCTGTTCGTATCAGCAATGCTCCGGTGTCTCGAGGCGACAAGTAGCAACAAGATGGCAGTGTCACGTACGCAGGGATTCCGGAAAAGAGCAACGAGAGAGTCTCGGGCGCCGAATGGATGAAGTGGCTGAGTGCGTAGGAGACGTCGAGCGGAGAGGTATAATGGGTCATTAAGCTTCGTTTGGAACACTACTCCAATATCTTCCAGTAGATTGTGCGAGACCGTCCCGGCGTCGCCTCGAAGCTCTTGTTGAAATTTCTGGAGCGTGCCGCTGGACTACATTAGGCCCGCAACTGCAGACCTCCGAGCAGAAAGTGCACCTTCTAATCCGGATTTCGATCTTACCCTCCTGGTACGCCTCTAGTCTTGCTGCTCAATGAACACAGCGGGTCATTTGGCGGATACCAGGGCGTGTGGCAATCGGAGATGTCTTGCCGGTCACACAGAAGGCAAAGCACGCCGCGACTGCCAAGGGCCAGCCAGGAACGGGAGAGGGGAACACGTAGCGTCTTCTTCGGGATGTACCGGTCGTCTCTTCTCAGCGCTTGAGCTCAGAGAATACAATGAGGATAATCATGCCCGCACGCAATGCGGCGGAGACAAGGGTGGGCTGTACAGGGCATTTCTCCGCACGCACGCCGAGCTTAGCAGGCGTGAACTGGGCCTGAGCCCACGAAACGATCATCTTCACAGACTGGTTTGTTCTCATGACGCTGGACATGCTCTTCTGAACCCTGGAAATCCAACTATCTTCCAAAATGACAGCATTCTTCGGCCGCTCGATCCCGCCAGACAGATTTTTCCCTTCATCCGAGCTCCTCACTCGTGATAGAAGCGAGATGGGACAGCAACGACTCAAGTTGGAAAGATTCTTCGCCTTCGACGGGCAAGACACAGACACCCAGCAGCCGCAAAAGAAGCGAGGAGAAATAGCAAGGACTCCGTCACTCGGATACGGCGCCTCAATCTCCCCGGACAGGCAAGATACAGACATCCAGCAATATCCGGAACAGAAGGGAGAAGAAATAGCAAAGACTCAGACTGGTGCCTTCCACTCCCTAAGATACGTGGGATGCAGATACCTAGCAGACGGCTACCGCAAGGACACGGATCCAATAGCTCCATCTTCTCGGACAGGCAAGACACAGACATCCAGCGGCATCCGCAATCGAAGCGAGAAGAAATAGCAAAGACTCAGACTGATCACTTGAAGATTTCGCCATCTTCGATTCGTGAGGCTCAGACACCCAGCAGGACGTCCACCGCAGGATGAATAGTCAGCTTGCTCGGCCTAGGAGCTTTCTTCAGTCCGCTGCTCATGCTCCAAGACGCCGTCGACTCCCATGTCCTCTGTTATGCGGTTCCGTGCTTCAGACTCAGCTCCTGCCGAATGGTGACAGCAGCGACAGCAGGGCTCAATCTCCACCGCTCTGAAGGGAACATTAAGCCCACGGTCATTTTGCTCACATACATTGCCCTTAAGAGCCAGGTCTGCGTGGGTTGCGGTCTTCCTTGGGAACAATGACGGCTCTTGTCTTCGTGTTGCTCTCACGTTCCTCTGCCTTCTCCGGCGAAGCTCGTCTTGGTTTGCCAGCGCGCGGAGAAATCAGTCGTATGCTCCTCCGTCTTCTTTTTCACCCAGGACTGCGAGTAACATGGTCAGATCCTCCGTGCAGCATGGAATGAACCCGGAGCACCGCACAGTGGCACTGCCATGCCGACGCCGAGATGATAAACAATGCAGTTACCATGTGCCTAGTTAATCCAAACAGAGAAGGGCGTTCCCGATTTTGAGCCCGAGGTGCCGACTACGTTTGACTTCCATGGAAGAGAGCGCCCTCGATCTCGACGTGTTCGCCGTGTGCCGCGTGCGCAGACTATTCCAAACGAACAGAGCGTCCCCGATTGCAACGTCGACGGAACGACCAGGAGTGGCTCGTGTGGCGAAGCCATCCTTCGATGCCGTCTTCATCCGGATCACAAACGGCTCAGTAGTTCGTAATGGGGGTGATCCTGACGAGAGCGCTGGGCATTTCGACAGTTCTTAAAGGGTTCGCAATCGGTTGGGTTGCGGCAAATTGAGGAGGATAACATCATATCCTTGGTGCAGACCGAGTCCGAGAAGAGCGTTCTCCGTCTCGGTGGACTCGGCATCTTTTGATGGAGGCACTGTAGCTTTGCAAGATCCATCCAAGCAAGGGAATGTTCTTTCGTTTCGCCCTCGATCTATCAACTCGTCCGCTGTTCCTTTCCCACGTCAACTACACTCCATCGCCGGGGCTACAACTCCATGTTCTGCATCTCGGGCCTGACAAATATCAAATATTGGCACGATTCTCTCCACGAGGCACCATGTGCGTGATATGAGGCCTTCGACCGCTGCGAGAGCTCACGATAATGTACGATCTATACCCGGGCGAACCGAGGCACCATTTGCCTTCCCTACAGTGTTCATTCGGACGAGAGCCATTGTCACGCCCCAATGGATCAGAATAATGTCCTTAATCAGGACGTGAGCGCTCTGTTACCACTTGATAACCTCCACACACGCGGATTGCCTTTAAGAAACGCAAGCATAACACAGACAACGACGAGACTAGGCGAGGACGTGGCCGATATGGATGTTAGTAATACCGAAGGCATTTCTCTTATACTTGAGACCGCACGTCCTTCGCTAACCATGGTTGAATGACGGCGAAGGGCACATGGCTACAGGAAGGGCAGCTGGGCGGCACTGATACAAGTATTGCTGGTAATACCAAATCGCTAGTATCCGTCTTTTCGACAGCGCTGGATCCGAACAAGGCCCCTTAGCAATGTATGCCATTTTTTCATTCTTACTGCCGGTATAGCTACTGCTGGCTGGCTCGGAGGACTGGCATTGGCAGAGCGAAAATGCCTAGAAGCATATCACAAGGAAGCGCTGCGTACGGTCCACCAGTGATCGCCACTACGCGGTCTCTTAGCAATCCTCTCGAACGCATCCTGGATCTCTCCCAGTGCTACCGACCGGTCAGACGAGGCCCAAAGCACCCACAGGGTCTGACGTTAATCGGTAGTATGACCATTGACCATTGACCGTTGACCTGGATGCGTCGCGAGGGACTGGATCGTATACGCACCAATCACGTCTCGTCCAAGTCGTCTCTGGGGACCCAGACAAAGGTACTATAGTAGTTTGAGAGTACGTCTCCCTCCTATGAACTCCGAGCACGCCCGCTCACTCGTCTCGCCAAGGACCTGCTGAGTTCTTCTTCCAGATATCGGGAAAAGCTCCACTCCTCCGCCGGCAATCGCTTCGTAGAAGTAACACCTTATTTGCGGTCTTGCTTAATGCGTTGGACGATCAAAGGAGCTGCCAAATCAATGTCATTACGATAACTATCATCCACGGGATCACTCCCTGCAGATGCCATCACCGTCAACCTATTCTCTCCGTCTCTATAAGGTATCGTGGCATCAGGACCAAAAAGAATTCCATGGAATGGGCCGGCTGGCCGCTGGCGGTTACGAGAGCGCCAAAGGATTGCACTTTCTCACAACTACCTTGCTATATAGCCTCCATCGACTGACCCTGCTTCTTCTCGAAAGGGCTCGATTAACATCTCAGTCGACATCCCAAGCTCTATTACCAAAGTGACGAAAGTCAAACGATGTTGATCGACTCAGCGGCAGGATCGAGAATCCCGGCGACTCTAGACTTGGCACTTAAGTCCGAACACACCCATGACCGATGATGGCATCGCACATCTGAGACTGGATCACTATATGCTGCAGCATAAACACAATCTCCGACGTGACTCGTTTTACCCCCAGTCCAGCCAGCCCATCTCGCTTGCAGTCTGTTGCGTGCTGCATCACATATGTCTCGAGATGCCATCGACCTCGGATCCAGTCAGTCTTATACTCAGGCTCGCGCCTCGCAGAGTCTGCACTGCCTGCAGCAACTACAGTCTCGTAACAAAAGAAGGCTCGCACCACGCTTGTGGTCATGGTCGGCGGACATGGCGCTGGCTGGCCAACCTTCGGAAGGGGACGATATGCAGAAGGGAACTCACTTGCAGATGGGAACTCACTTGCAGATGGCAACTCACTGTAGCAGTCGGCATCAGGGGTGGCATGCCTGGGACTCCCTTCGAAATCGAAGCCGCCACAAAGCTGTAGCATCGTTGACTGATCTCACTGTCGTCAATACTAGGCACGAGCTAAAGAGCACATTGTGCTTTGTTTCACCCAAAGCACTTTCAAAATGGCGTACAGCACCAGAAGCTGTGGCCTGGGTCTTGGAGAAGCGTAGCGGAGGAGTCGGTCTCAGTTGCCAAGGCTGCTTTGGAAAGTATTAACGTCTGTGCAAACTTTGCACGTGTGACGTGGAAAGTATGATCGCCGTGAGCTGTGGCCGTTGCCATGCATACTAAAGGCCAAACCGGACCAACTGAAGTGCACAACGAGCCATTGCAAGCAATGATCCTGGCGTTACGGTTTCCACCTGAAAAAATCGAAGGTCTTGCTAAGAACGAATCGTCCAGGCACAGAAAAATGAAAGACTGAAGTCCAGAATGCAGCCATGCTCTTTCGACCCTCTCGGTGTTCCGAACGACACGAGTTGATGTCCATGCCAATACCAAAGCGCACATCACCGAGAAATGAAGAGACCACAAGCAATCTTTGCGATCAATTATCGTGGTTGAAGTCGGACTGACTCTCGCACCAATCTAGGTCCCATCGCTGTTAGAGATAGGCGTTCCACAAGCGAGCCGGACTCGATCCATGGGACAATTCATATAAGCTGTCCTTGCTTTCGCCCGCCAGATATCAGGGATCCATGGCTGCTCTCGCTCTCGTAGGGATCGTTCGATCTGATCCCGTCTTATGAGAACATCCGGGATTGAAGATTTGACCTTTAGACATGCTACGACCCTTGGGCAGGAGATCGAATGGATGCGTCAGGTTATTGATCACCAGTCAGTCGAGCAAGTTTCGTGAAGCTTGCATCATATCTACCTGCAGCTCTGCTCTTCGTTCCGCGTCTCTGACTAGTATTGTTACCTTCGCTTTCACTCGGATGTCCCTGAATGTACCAGTCAGTGTAGCATAACCTCCTCCTAGGTGGCATAGCTGGATACGAGAGAGCCGTTACCAGCATCCAGTGACATGGACAATGTCGAAGACTATACTGCTTCCATCGAGACGCCCAGCTTACCCCCGATGTGGATTTGGCGAGGACATGATTATCCCTGAAGGTGGTCTGGTCAGGCAATGGACTGTCACCCAGGCAAGGTTTCTGTGACATGCCACCGATGTTAACCTCGCCATTGCTCAATGATCTCAACGCTTCTCGCATGCCAACAAAGCAGCTGGACAAGTGGGCCAATCACAGACCCAGACCCGATCTTGCGAGGACCCCGGCTTTCAAAGTCATCTGGTTCCGCTCATGAAGATGCTCTTTCCAAGGCCAGCTCCGGTCGGAGCAAGCTCGAATGTGTGCTCCCTGACGTCTATCCTGCGTCTTTGCTGGACATTTTTTACGAACATCAGCGAAGCACAGGAGGACTATCTCGTTAATTTAGAGAAGTCGGGAGAGAGAGAATGCCAACGCACTTGACTGGAACCCTAAACTGACGTCTCCGTTTGTACACGTACGCTGAACCATAGCACCGACCTCGGCGCCTACGAGGCCTTCAGCCGCCCTCTTCGGCGACTTCATCTCCAGCGCTCGTATGTATGACCCAGACGGGACGAAGTTGAGTAGGAGACGTACCGCGGTCTGCGGCATTTTGAATCCAATCGGCCGAGGGAGAGTACCAAGTACAGCAACACACCACGAAGCATTCATGAAGCTGCTCCACTCAAGCGAAGCGGGGCGCTGGTTGCCGCCGCTTGAAGAAGTGCGTTGGCTGCTGCCGGAGGAATAGCGCTGCTGGTTGTTGCCGGAAGAGTGGCGCCTTCGATTGCTACCTGGGGCCAGGGTAGTAGGTCTACTCGCCGCGGATGGAGGCTACGCGTTGCCAGTATCTACGAGGGGTATGCGGGAGTTCATCCAGGGAGTTGGCGGCGCGGCAATGCGAAGGGTGATGCTGTCAGTCCACACCTGTTCAATTGGGAGGCTGGCGGGCGACATGCAATCCTTTAGGACCACAGTGTCTAGCGGAGCTCCGAATTAGCAGGAGGAATGATGTCGAGGGTTTTGTCGAAACAAGCTCACTCTCGCCTATTCGACATTGGGATATAACTAGTAGGTAAGTCCAATACTACTGTCAGCCTAAATGAACAATTGCAAGGAGTAGATAGTTTGCATGTACGGCAGTGCCGCAGTGCGTAGCAGAGGTCTCGTTGCGCTCTTCGCTCTACGCGATATAGTAAGCGAAAGCTGGATTCTGAAGAGCCGCTGATAGTCACTAGCTGTTTTCAAAGTATCAAACGAGTTCTCGTAGAGTGGATTGACCGGGCTCGATCGAGATTAAGTAGAAGGAGAAAGAGATTCTTACCGAAAATCAACACACCCCCAACTTACTCTAGAATGTATCGAAGACAATGCCTTTGTTCGACCTTATTTCAAATTCCAGGTAAGGTAAACATTGCCTTTGTTCCTAGACTTCAAAAAAACATACAAGCAATGCTTAAGAGATATGATGCTTCGTCCTGAATACTTAATACGATAATACATCGTATTCAAAATCGAATCACGTTCGAAGACTCTCCTTTCCTTTCAATCTTCACGTGGGTACGATATAGCATAGTGCTCTCTTGTAGAAGAAACAACCGGAATAAGTCCCTTCTCGGGACAAGTCGCTTTTATAAGAAGCACGTTGTGCTCTCTTAGCGAATACTACCCTTCGTATCTATTGGCGTATAGAGAACATTTCGCTGCAGCGGGCTTGCTACTTCCGAAGGCAAGACAAATCGTTTGAAAAGGGAGAAATCGTTCAAGAGATCATTTGAAAAAGAGGAGGATCATTTGAAAAAAGAGAGATCATTCGAGAAAGGAGGGATCGTTTCAAAAAGGAGGGATCGTTTGAAAAGGACAGATCGTTTGAAAAGGACAGATCGTTTGAAAAGGGAGGGATCGTTTAAGAAAGGAGGGATCGTTCAAGAAAGGAGGGATTGGTTGAGAAAGGAGGGATCGTTTGAGAAAGGAGGGATTGGTTAAGGAAGGAGGGATCGGTTGAAAAAGGAGGGATGGTTTGAAAAAGGAGGGATGGTTTGAAAAAGGAGGGATGGTTTGAAACAGGAGGGATGGTTTGAAAAAGGAGGGATCGTTTGAAAAATCAGAGATTGTTTGGAAAAGGCGAGATCGTTTGGACCGTGGTCGAGAACCATACCTCGTCTACTGCAAGGTAGCTCCTCTCTCCGACTGTTCCACGTATATAGTAAGCTCGTACGACATCTGCTCTATAGCGAGTGCTTCCAATTGTACCCTTACGGTACATATTCCCGGCAGAGCAGACGTTAGGCCATTGGTACCTAAGCTGCTACTACAGAAAAGACGGGCAACGTTGAGATCGAACGACGATAACGTTGAGACTACTAGTAGAGTGTTGATGTTGTATCAGAAATACATCGACGACCGAAGGAAGATTTCTGGATAGCCTCATGGAACGTACATTGTGCCCCCCTGGCGGGAATTTGTGCTGGTACCCCAGTGTATCGTGGGAACCTCTCCTTCTCTGAGATCTCTCTGTAGGTTTTGCAGGCTATCAAATAGCGAAGAGAGCAAAGCTGTCTCCTTTCGCGTGGAAGACTGTTTGCAAAAGCACAGAGACTATAGGCTCGTGAAGTCCTCGGGGGTGCATGACAGCAGGACAATCCATGGTCGAGAACATCTGCAAGGTACAGCGGTCGTCTCGACTCTCCGAGGCGTTGCTCGAGCATTGAAACACACCAGAGGTCTTATATCCACATAGGCAAGAACTCCAGGCCGTGATTCCTATCGGCTGAATCAGTATGCTTCTTTTGACAGGCATCGGTCATGTGCCATCTCCGGATGGACAGGTCGCGAGAGATAGGGGTGAAGAGGGGCATCCAGAGAAGCAACAGAAAGGTCGGAAATCAGTCATTAGGGAGTCGCGGTGACTCATAATAGAACGCAAAGTGGCAGCGGCAGCGAGGCACGATCTGCTGCTGTATCGTCTATCCCGACACGTCTGTAGCTAATAGTAGCTCAAGACAGACACACGAACGTCTGACCAAGGTATGAGTACGAGATCTGTGGATGATGTGATGGTACAAGCTCTCAGTGCTATCAATGGTAGATCTATCAGTAAGGTATTCAATCTAGATCTAGCTTACCTTGATATCTTCATTCCTTGACATATCGTCTCCTCCAAGACAGTGAGCTGTCTTCTCCTTCTCCTCCTCCTTCCGAAAACTCACGAATTAAGCGGCGACAATGTCCTTCTTGGCCTTACCAACACTCGGATCGCGAGCCATGACCGACAGCATGAAGCCCTCGTAGTCTTTACCGCCCTCCTCCTCCTCGTCCTCCTCCTGATCAACGGCATCGGCGATCTGCGCAGCATCCTGAACCCCCAAAAACTTCTTCACGGCACGTAGGTGCTTCTCGTCCATCTTCTCCGCAGGCCGGTAATGGTTAAGAAGGCGATGGACGAAAGAGCGGAAAGCCTCCTTGGCCCAGTCTGCGTTGGTGACTTCTTCCTTTTGCGCTTGTGCCTGTTGTTGCTGAAGGAGGGTTTGCTGCTGCTGCTGCGACTCGCGTATGAAGTTGGAGATGAGCAACTCGCTGGATCCTGCATCGCGCATGGCGCGAATGATAGGGTCCAGGTGGGCGAGAGAGGGGGCAGGGGGGGCCTCCGCTGGCTGCTTGTCCTTGGTCTTGCGGATGGGAGCTATCTTCTTGACCGCAGCGGCAGATGAAGAGGGCGAGGGCGTCGGTGGCGGCGTCTGGAGCTGCTGCTGCTGGAGGGGACGAGATGGCATGATCTGGAAATCGGCGACCTCTGGCTCTTCTGTTCCAGACATGATCTGTTGCTTGGAGGAGATGTGCTTGTTGGTCTGCTTCGTTGTCTTCTTCGCTGATGACGTAAAGGTGGGCGGTGGTGGCAATTCGCCCTCGCTCTCTGAAGCATAGTAAGACGGGTTCTGGGTCGCGGCCTGTGGCTTGGGTAGAGCAACCGGAACGTTGTCGGTGGCGGGCGGAGAGGCCACGTACTGAGACGCGACAGGTTGAAAGGCAGACGAGGGCTTCTTCGGAAGCGGCGGAGAAACAAGCGGCGACTCGTCCTGGCTGTCCGAAGCATAGTAAGAATGATTCGGCATGGTGGTCTGTGGCTTGGGAACGACCGGGATCCGCTTGCCGAGAGGCTGAGGAGCAACACGCTGTGCGATGACGTGCTGAGGAGAGAAGGGCTGCTTCTTCTTCTTTGCGATGGTGACCGGTGGTGGCTGTACATCCTCGCTGGCGGAGGCATCATTCTCCTGAAGGACAACAGGCTCTTCAGGGACAACGACGGCGGCAGGCTGCTTCTTCTTCTGTGCGACGTTGACCGGTGGTGGCTGTATCTCCTCGCTGGCAGAAGCATCGTCCTCCTGATGGGCAACAGGATCCTGAGTGACAATGACGGCGGCAGGCTGCTTCATCTTCTTCTTGTCAGCCACAACGGACTTCAAAGCGCCCTCGAAGTCGTTTGCCACAGCAGCCTGCTTCATCTTCTTCTTGCCGACCACGACTGGATGCGGGACGACCTGGTCCTCTTCCTCGCCTTCGCTCTCCGAGTCCGGAACGGGCTGCTTCGTCTTCTTCATGTTGGACATCTTGGAGAAAGCAGCAGTATGCTTCTTCTTCTTCTGCTCGTGCATAGTATGATGCACCTCCTCCTGCTCCTCCTGCTGGACCTGCTCCTCACTCTCTGACGCATACATCACTACAGCAGGCTTCTTGGTCTTGTGGTGCTGCTTCTGGACCACAGCCTTGTTGTTCTTCTTCGTCACTGGCGAGGGAGCTTCTTCCTCCTCGGCGCTGTACTCGTCGTCATCCGCCATCGTCGTCGCCGCATAGCGCGAAGTCCCGACCTTGGCCAAGTTGGGAAGGGAAGTGTGGCTTAGGAGCTTTTGAAGATTCTGGGATGCGCGGGTACGGGCTCGCTGGGAGGAGTCGGAGTTGACGATGATCTATACCAAGCCAAGGAAGTCAGCAATATGGAAAATGAAGAAGCGACATATGCCAAAGAGAATCGGGTACTGACCTTCTGGCGAACCAAGATATCCATCGCATCCCTGACCAATGCCGCTTTGCCCATCTCGTTCCTCCCCTCCAGCATCACGAAGCGATTGCGGACGTTCGACTCCTTCTTCAAAGACTTGAGACGACGGAAGTCGAACTCTCCGCTCTGCACCTTCTCGATCAACGTCTTGGAGACCTTAATCTCCCACTCGTCATCGTCGTCCTTGTCCACGAAGATGAGACCCTTGAGGCCGACGTCGGAGAGGCGATTCATGATCTTGTCGATGATCTTGTCGAGACAGACTTCGACAGCGCGGTTGCCAAGGCCGAGAGGCATGTTCAGATCGACGGCGAGCGCGATTAGCTGCAAGGGATCGGGAAGAGACTTGCCGAGGAAGACACTGTTCGTAAGTTAAGTCAGCTTGAATGTGATCAAAGACAGACGACGAGGTAACTGACTTGAGGCCACCCATGGCATGACGAATGATCTTGGTCTCCTCCTCGTTGCTGTATCGTGCGCTGCCATATCCTGTCGCTGTGGTCAGAAGACATGAACGTGTATATATGCGTGCCCATGCAGCGTTTGCACTTCATACCATTGAGGATCTTGTGGGTGCTGAGGCCAGCGAAATGCTTCAGGTACTGCTCGTCCGAAGAGTTGATCTCGTCGCTGTCCTCCTCCTCTCCATCGCACTCATATGATTCGTCTTCGCTCTCCGTAATCTCCTGTTTGATCTTCATTCCGGCAGTGACCTTGCTGTTGGGAACTGCGCTTCGGGGCTTGCGCTTCTGCTTGCCGGTCGCCGCCTGAGCACGCGTGCGCGCCATGGTCGAGGTGATCGTGTGGTTGTGTCCAGGGAACGCAGCAATGGCGGGGATTGCAAAGAAAGTGCAAAGGATTTGGAGAGGATGCAAAGAGGAGGAGTCAGGAGTGTACAAAAAGAAAGGTGGAGTGGCAGACTGCACATCGGCTGCGGGACGGAGGCCGGGATGTTTCAAAGTCCTACTCTGGAGTGTTACCTCGCGACTTGCAACTTACAACTTACGACCTACACCCCACCGTACCGAGACATACGTCCGCATCGACCCTCTCAGTGACTGCTGACCCGCAAGCCGCATGTGTAGGAGCAGGTGCTATCTCAACTTCTCAAGACCGCAGCCATTGGTGTCATTGTGCACAAGTGTAATCGTATTCCATCTGTTCACTGCATGCGGCACTCAAGCTATGACGACACGACGTTCAATAAGAAGGTCGCGATGTATGTGGTATGTTGCGCGCATGGGACATCCTCCAGAGCTGGAGCGTGGGCTATTTCTTCGCCGCGGGTGAGATCCACTCGGGGCGGAGAGCGAGTCGGGCTTGTCGGTGGGCATCGCAAGCAGTGGCGCGGAGAGCGAGGGACGAGCAGTGGCGGCTGGGGGGATACGACTTCGGTGTTGGAATTGGAGGGCTGTATCTGGAAGTTGTGAGTTGTGAGTTGTGAGCTGTGAGCTGTGAGTTGTGAATTGTGAGTTGAATTGCAAGTCGGGACTGACAAGATCGACATGGTTCGGGCCGCGGGGAAGTGGCGCGGGCCGACGGCAGGGTCGGTCGGACAGCCGAGAAGAGGGCTGGCAGATATGGACATGCAGTCATCCAGCGAGCCGTCGTGTGCGCATGGAGCCTCAGGCCTGGGTCCTTCGGTACAGAAGGCCGACGCCGTGGAGTGAGACATCCATGGCGGATATGCTGGTGTTTGTTTGTCCTGTTCCTCCTCCTCCCATTTCATCCTCTCCTCTCTTACGCTGCCCTCACCATTCCCCGACCCAACACGATGAACATCGATCCGCTTCATCTGCGCCCGGGCGTGGCGACTGCCACGGGCTACGAGCGCGATACCGGCGTGTCGACATGGACGTTCAAGCGTCATTTCGTGCGCCCGAGCGCGGCCGATCCGCGCACCATGGAGCACGTCACGGAGCAGCGTGACGCGCGATATCGCCCGGAGACCAGCGAGCACCAGATCCAGGTCAAGATGCAAATCATTTCGGTGGTGCAGAAAGGCTTGCAGGCGGAGATTTGTGTCGATTTTGGGATCAAGGTACGGTTCATCCTCCCTTCACCAGCTGGAGGTCGCTCTCGTTTTCTCCGCACCAATCACAGCCTCCGCTTGCTCCGCTCCAATCACGTCACTGCGGTGCCTTTCACCACTCCCTCGGCCAGGCAAAGTTCGCCTTGCGCATTTGCAGCGCAATGCAGTATACATTGCTATCCATACGAGCAGTCGAGATGGCTGACTACGAGTGCTACAGCGCTTCCAACTCACCACCGCCGAGCACCGCTATAATTGGTACGAGCAACTTGAGCCAGACCGTGGCACCGATCCCAACCTGAGCGGCGAATGCATCCAGGAATTCCATTTTCCTGGTGACGGCTTCAATCTCGACTTCAACCCAGTCCTCGAAGGCGACGGCGCCATTCTAGGCTTCGAGGGCTTCAGTGTACCTCACGTCGACATCGAGGGTTCCTTCGTCCGCAACGCCCCCACCTCGCGTCCTCCCCCGACTCTGAATGCTCAGGCACAGCTCAATCTGCTTCAAGGACCTCCGCGCTATCAGCATCACCACCACCAGTCTGCTGGTGCACTCGTACTCAAGCGCAAGAAGGACACACCGACCATCACTGGCAACCGCGTAGAGGAAGTGGAGACGAGCGAAGACGAAGACGGAGGCGACGGTGAAGACTCCGACCAAGGGACGCTCTTCGTCTCGCAGTCCTCGTCCTCGGCCATGAAGAGCAGAAACATTCATGGACAAGGAAGGAACAAGAGGCAGCAGCAGTCTCACAAGGCCGTGTTTCCGAACAACTATACTGGCAACTTCGCCGGTCTTGCCGCCGAGGATCAGCGCCGCAACAAGCACCGGGACAACCACAGCAACAAGAAGAAGAAGAAGATGCGGCAGGTCGTCGTTGTCGAAGATGCGGAAGAGGATGATGGCGAGGACGAAGACGATCAAGAAGGTTACGAGGAGTACATCACGGTGCGTCCCAGCACGAAGCGCAAGGCGTCTTCGAAGAAGCGTGGGCATGGGCAAGGACAAGGATATGGGAAGAGGCCTCAGGGTAACACCCGGGATATCTGAACGTGGGCCCATTCGGGGCGTATCTCTCAAGGGGATGTACAGAGCAATGAGCGTGCACTTGGAATGATTTGGCGGAGTCGGCCTGTTCATGCAGAAAGCAGAGAAATGTAGAATACCATCCACACAGATAGTCTGAGAAACACGCAGCAGTCAGATCATCGCAGAGTTGGCAAATACGGGCAACACGCCCTTTCATTTTGTTTCGCTGTTTCCTCGTCCACCCTCAGTAAAATCGTTGAAGCTGCGCTGCAAGAGGGGTCGTCTTCTATCCTCCCAGAGAAGCCTGGTCTGGAACTCGCAAACTTGTGCGCCGGGCCATTCAGCTGATCGGTCAATGCTCAATCTCTCTCGGTAGTGGACACAGCAGCGCCTCTCGGTCGCAGATGACACTAAGATGAATGAGGCAGGCAGTGCCGAGCCAAAGCTTCCACTTGCGAAGCTGTCGCATCCTTTGTATTTGATAATAGGAATGATCTCAGGTCAGAATATACATATGGCCGCATCAGGATTCCAGAGTATATGTATGGCCGCATCGGGATTCCCGAAGACCTCGGAGAGCACAATGTGCTCTGTTCACGTGCTCGCCATAGCACTGCCCCGCGGGCTCAAACCCGAAAAAGCCCATTGTGCTCATTACGTCATCGTGGTCACGCCCACCTGTGCTTTTGGTTCAGCTCAAGCCCGCTCTCTCCCGACGTGAACGTTCTACCTTCAAGCCGTCAGTGCATAATACTAATGTGCGGCGTGCTTTGACTTCTGATGCAATCTTTGCGCATGCTTGACTTGTCCTGCCTGGAAAGCTCTGCGTCCTTGCGAGGAACTCGCACATTCTGGCAGTGACCGCCTGGATGCCGGATCCCCGCCGGCTTTGGGTGGGATAGCCGACGAGCCGTACACACGAGCCAGCGAGCATCTCACAAGTCACAACAGTTGTCCACACCTCGAGTCAGCCCTTCGCGCAAGCCATGGCGCGGCTTCGAAAATCAGCTGCCTTCGACTCCGATATCGACATCGCGACATCTATCCAGCGCCTCCAAGCTGACAATGACCCCGACGAGCGCCTCGACCTCTACCGCCGATTCTGGCAGCACCATGCCCGCAATGACACTGCGACCGCCAGCAGCGTGTCGCCTTTTCCGTCCGCATCTCTCCTCGACGAGCACCTCCCCGTGGATCTTCACGATGCACTCGAAAGCACGGCGGGGCTGCAAGTGCAGCACCGGCGCCACAAAGCGCAGATCCACGCCCTGACCGACCCGCTCCGATGTCCTTGGTACAATGAGGAAATGAATCGCGGCGGCTTCACTCTGCTGCGAGTCTACGCGGTGTTTGGCGACGCCATCTCCAGCTACACGTTCCTCTCAGGTCTACGAGACCTCGCAAATATCCCCGGCTTGACGTTTGCGGAGGGTACGAGGCGGATTTATGAGAAGGCGGACGGGAGACCGCTGCAGCCAAGACATGTGCGAGAGGTCATCGAGGACTTGGAGCAGGAAGGCTTGACGGTCGTGGGAGACAGGAAGATGGCCAAGTCATGGAAGGGCGCGCACCAACAGAGCAACAGTACAGCGGACAGCGCGAAGCGTAGCAAGAGGAAATCACACAGCATGGACACATCGACTGAATTTGACGAGGGCGGCTCCAAGGACATGACCATGTGCACCGGGCGCTCGGTGGAGACGGGCAGGCGACATGTCAATCCTCACCAGGATGCATACGACGATCCGAGCAGTCTGCAGACAATAGATGAATCGAGTCAGACGCAAGATATGGATGAGCTCAGTCGGGCGAACGATGCGGAAAAGAGGACAGCGCGTGACAATTTGGAGGCTTCGGACAGCGCCAAGCAAAACGGTGACTCGACGACCACGAGCTTGTGCGTCACGGGCGGCGGTGCGGATGGCATTTCAGACGACGATGCAGATAATGACACAGGGGCTGCGAACGACACTCCAAATGACGATTCAGATGAAAATACAGTCGATCCTGTGAATGATTTGCCCGAGGACGACTTCTCAGGTGCAGACCCTCCGGGACCATGGGACGATAGCGACTCCCCAAATTTCGACCCCGCGGACGTTGACGGTGAATCTTCGGAACTCGGCTGCGAAGCTTCTAGAAACGCCGACGCCGACAGCGACCCACCTTCTCTTCGCAGCCACAGCAACAGCCCCAACATCACCCTTCGCAAACATCCGCGCCAGCTCGGGAGCAACAACACACACGAGACTTCCTTCCATCCTACTGCACTCTCCTCCCACCACCTTGTATCAGACACATTCGACAATACCATCATGACCAAGCGCACTGCGGCCACTGCCTGCGACACTGACTGCGACATGCAGCCCCTCAAGCGCCTCTGCCAGGATGGACAGGCAGGCGCCGACGACGACGTGCCCGACGCAATCAAAGCCGATAATCATCGCTTCCTTTCACTGTTCGCAGTATGCCTTGCGCCATGGGTCCTTCAGGTCGACGACAGCGACACAACCATCAGCTTTCGCGCGAAGAACGCCGCCGGCGAAGAGGTGCTGGTGCTCTGCCTCGCTTTCCCCACTCACCACTGCTGGGCACTTGTGCATATGCTGGACTCATCCGACTCCACCCTCCACGTGTACCTCCCAGATGCATCGAACGTGACTGCAGACGAGATTGCAGCACGGGTGAAAGAGGAGACCACCGAGACCGAATCCCTTTTCCAACAAGTCCAGGAGCACACGATGCCTGGTTTGACGACTCCAAGTGCCGACACTGCCTCTCAACGTCTCTTCAACATGAACACTGCTGTCGGTGCTTCTGCCTGCGCGCTCTTCACTCTTCTTGAACAAGACTACCCTACCTCCATCGACACTTCGCTCTGGTCCGATGCACTGCTCCGCTGCTATGAGCTTCAGCGAGAGGCGAGCCCCGAGTCGCCATCTAGTGCGGTCGCCCAGTCGCAGTCCGTATCGAAGGATGAGAAGAGCGAGATTCTGGCTGGCCGATCCAACAAGTACAGCGCCTTCCAGTCGACCAGTGAGGGACTGCTTGCCGAGATTGCCGGCGACTTCGACATCGCGAAGCGCCATCAAGCCATTCCAGGCAAGCTCTATCGTCTCCACGAGGGCCTCACTTCTGCTGTTGAACAATGCGAGGCTAAGACCTCGGCCACTGTGGACAACGAGGAGATCAAGTGGCTGGAGGCAAGCCTCATAAATGAGTCCATACCCAAGGCGATCCGTCAGAGGAACAAAGAGATGCTGGAGGACAAGAGAGCTGCTATCGGACAGCAACAAGCACCAGCGGATGTCTGGAGAAAGCTCGCGCAGGCGATCAATTTCAAGCGTATCCAGGCCCTCGACTTGGGCGACAAGGCCAAGCGCGATGCGAAGCGGGACCGAGATGCGTTGGTTTCCATCATGCAGAAGCTCTTGGTGAACCTGAGAGAGCTGAAGATATGAGGCCGTCCTCCGGTGGAGATCGCTGGTGGCCCGCTGCCCGTGGGAATGGTTGACGAAGATGAGACCTGCTGGCACGGACGAGATGCAATGAATTTGGTATGGGACGCATATCTAATGCAACATGAGCAGACTGCCTCTTGATATTGCGCGACGGACGACGTCCAGGGGGAGACTTCCCGAACCTGGCGAGATGCAGTGCATTCGGTATGAGATGTATGTATAGTATGTACCACACCACGGTGTGATGAGTTGATGGGACAAGATGTAATGATAGCATGGCATGAATGCTCGAGAGAAAATGCAAGCTTTATCAAATCATCTGCGCGCATCCGTCTTCTCGTTTTGAAATTCTCACACCCGGCCAATGCATTCGCAGTTGCTGATTTGCCTCCTTTCCCTGACCGAGCTACCAAGTCTTTCAGCACTTGATCGTGCAATGTTTGGTGAGCAGCATACGACAGTACCCGTCTGTGTGATGGCATCACTGGATAGAGTATTGCGGACCAGACGAAAATTCTGTGAGTAGTTGCCAAGAGTCACGTGATGTTTCAGTCCACCGACTTCACCTCCTCAGTAAGGTGCTGTCTTGTGAAATGGATCGGTACATGACACCCAGACCTGACCCCGCTTGCGGCTGCTCTCCGTGGTTCCCCTCTCTGCTCTTATTGCCGTACCACACTGCCTGGCCCTCAACGATATTGAAAGCTCAAAGACTGCACTTGTGACTTGCCTGTCTCTTGTTTTACCCTCTGGCATCTACTTTGAAGCAAGAGGACATTCCCGCCGCACGATATGGCGTACAACATACCGCCGATTGCAAACGACCTTCTCGGAGACTGAAAAGCCACGCAGCTCATGGCTACCCTCTTGAGCCTCCTCTTCGTCCAGCGACTTCAGCCCATTGCAAATCCCGGATCCGAGACACTGCAAGTCGAATCGATACCCATTTCGAGGCCCTCGTGGAGAAAGACTGGGGATGGAAACGAGACAGCACAAGTAGGGGGGCAAACGCACATGAAGAAAGATACGGATACCTTGAAGTTTGGTCGGGAATGGGCAAAAAGGAGGGCTTCAGCCTTCGAATCTTGACGAGGGCTGGAATGAGTGATGTTCCCCTTGAAGAAGATCACAGATCCGGTATTGAATCCAAGATACTGTGATGTGATACGCAGACGAGCAGTGGAGTGAGATTCGCAGGAGTAAGGCTTTTAGGCCTTCCCACGATTGTACGAACAAAGACACGGCCGCGCTAGTGTTTCCTTAAGGATTTGGGACACGGGTTTCGATTTCAATTATCTCGCGGGCTATACGATATCGGTGAGAGCACGTACGAGTCAGCGAGCCATTACTGATCGCGTAAACCTAGATGGAACGAGACCTTACAAGGGAGGAGTCAGCCAGGGGTGCCATCACCCTTACGGCCTTTACAGGGTCGCAGAATGGTGTAATCTCTTCGCGAAATCCTTGAACGCACAGCTAAAACGACTGCTGATGCTGCTCCCTTTTGACCTCCTGGCAGCCGGGATGGACAGCTTTCTCAATCAATGGCGCCTTGCTTTCTGCCATCGAACACTTGAACAAGACCTCGGGCTTTGCTAAAGCACAAGACGGCTCAGGTGACTTCGTCATCTCAAGTCAAGTTATCTGCGTCCTGCATCAGGATGAACCCTGGCACTTCTTGCTCGCTGAATATACTCATCACTCGAGAGACTCTTTCGAGCACGCAGTCATAAAGCACTCGGAGATTTAACATTTGTCGGAGTCTTGCTCAACGATGCTCGCCAGCACGATGCGTTGACACGGGCCGAAGATCAATGATCGAGGTTGGACGAACCGTCGAGATTCACGGAGAGCTTATCGCTGGCCAAAATACTGCTCAGCAGCCCACTCCGGTCTCTGTTGCATTCGTATCTTGCCTCGCTATTGGAACCGTAGGAGAACATCCAGCACATATCGGCTCCGCGTTCTCTCATTCTTTTTTCGTACCATGGAGAGATTGCTGATTGACTGCTCAGCTGCCCACTCAAACAGCTCGATCTCGAATGTCGCCTGGCGCCTACGGCCTGCCGCCAACAACAAAGTCAGCTTCGTCGACATTGTGGTCATCCTCCTCGTCATCGCCCACACTCGCTCGCATAGGCTTAAGCTTGGCATTGCCGTACTGCTAAAAATCACCGAGGAGCCATCTAAGATCTGCTTCGAAGGTCTTGGGCCACTCTGGATCTTGGAGTCAGGATTGGGACGTAAAATGCGCAAAAGGATATCGAATTACAGAGCTTGTCAGACCTTCTCAAAACTGCACTCAGGAATCCTGCGAAGGTCGCCTCGCAATGGAGTCTACGACTCCACGAGCGAGTTTCAAAGCAAAAGATCTTATGCGCGATGTACCGGTCTTCTGATTCCCCTTCTGCGATGAGATACTTACCCTCTCCCTTGGCTTCATCTTCGTCTTCGAACAAATGACCAAGTCTGCCGACATCGGAAGAGCTCGACGCAATCAGGGCCGCATAAGAGGTCGCCACGGAAGCTGACCGAACACCGGCCCTGCATTCTGGCCAAGTCCCTCGGAGGAGATCCCCGGAGAGAGAAAGCTGGAGCTCGTGCAAACCCTTCCACTGAGCGACAGTTTATCATGCTAAGCCTCGGAGAAGACCTCATTCACTTACATCCGACTGTTGACCGACTCTGCACTCTGCGATGCGATCGCCGCCGTCGAGCACCTCTATGTTGGAGAAGGACAGATTGAGTGCGAGCAGATCACCAACCACGCAGCCTACGGCAACATTGTGGGGGCTGTCCATCACTTCAATGCTCCATCTTGCATCTTGCAACTCTCACCCAACTGGAGCTACCCACATCACTGAAGGTGGTGTGTACAGACTTTCGAAGATGCAAGACATCGAGGCACGGTCCGCCCGGAGCCTGCTCAAGGCCATGTCAATCACCTTACGCAATAGTCGGGTGGCCATCATCGATGGGTTCGGCGCGGGTGGCGCAGCTCTCGCCGAGCTGCCGAATGGATAGACCAGCTACGCAAGCAATATTCTTCTCTTATTAGGGGGTTCGGTAGCTCGCCGAGCAAGTCACTCGAGTTCGAAAGCCGGCTAACCTAGATCTTCCAAACGTGGTTGATACTCTCGAGACCCTGGACAAGGAGATATTCTTTTGTAACGCAAGGCTTTTTGCGAACTTCTCAATGTTCAAGCGATGCTTCAAGCATCTGACGCACTGGTGTTCCGACAACTTCGCAGACGAGAGAGACAAGATGCAGGACAAAATTAGAGTCACGAGTACTGGCATGGATTCCTTATCTCCTTGAGTAGAAAGGTCACTCGAACAGCGATCCAAATCTCACAAACCAAGCAGGAGGTTTCGAAGGTATAATTGTATCAAGGACAGCACCCTACAACATCTGGCATGCCTACGATGGATCCACGAGCTATAATAATCTTTTCAGTAGTCGGGGAAAGAGGGAAAGACCTTGTGCGGAGGAAACCATGCGTGAAGCACCTGTAACGGTGTGACCTGCGCAAAGAAGGGGTCATCTCGCTGCACGTTGGTCGCAAAAGCAAGGCATGCGAAGTCAAAGATCGTTTTCTAACAGGTCAGGCGTCTCACTTCTCACACCACACCGATTGTCTGGCTCAAAGCCTTTGTGGAAGAACGCCATTGACTTAGGTATCGCTTACCGATTTGAGCCCTCCCGACGTCTTTGCCTTTACCCACACGTCCTGGCAGCCCGAGCATTGGCTCGGTATTGACTTGCAATCTACCGTCGACCGCAGAGATCCAAGAACGTGGTGTAGACCAACTGGAAGAACAGGATCACGAGGCATTAGCATCGAACCTTCAACTTCAACTGCAAAGAAGACAATGACCCCATAAGGTCAAGAAGGAACCGAAAAGAACAAGGAAAGACTCGTCCAGCATTTGCAGAAATATTAGCACGTCACGGCCGAGCACACGGATAATGCGTACTCCAACTTCCATGACCAGGTCATCAAGACTTTGAATAAGCGGAAAGGGCCGGGCAAACATGATTTGGTATCAATGGGCTGTATGGCGTTTTGTGAGCGACCGTCAACGGACAAGACACGATGGCCAAAGCCCGATCCAACAGATTGACACTCGTATGGCTTCGTCCAATCTGTGCCCAAAGATTCAAGCAACTCCGGAACGCTGTACGATCGATGCAGTGACGAGACTTTGATTCTCGTGGCATTACTGAAGCGACAAGTCTCACAGACCGAAAAATGATTTTCGGCGAGTGTGTTATCCGAGCTCGACACTTCATGCGATCCTCCCCGGACCTCCCGCACACTCCTAACGTCCGCAGTACCCGCAAGCGCCTCTCAACCACAGCTATCCCGTCTGTGTCTTCGCAGATCTCTTTCCAAAGACTGTGTACCGAGAGATCTACAATGTTGCACTACAGCTTCACTACAGCTTCGACTGAATCGTTCGAATGTAACAGTACCAATCTCAGTGTGTATATACGCGGCGGCAGGTCACAGCGACGTCAGCGTGGACCAGTCGGAAATGCTACCATTACCTCGGCTGACTCGAGGTGGCATCAAAGCTCGAGACGCGCGGGAAAGTTGAATGCCCGTTGTTGGGGGTCTGATGAACCGATTCCTGAACGTGGCAGCATCCTTGGGGCCAGTGAGTAGTCGGTATCCGACCACAGCGCCAAGTAATCATCACTGCATTAGTCAACGACTCTAACGTCTCGGCATGGCTCAAAGTTGGAGATCAAGAACGAAACTTATGTTCAGGTAACAGCAAGCTCGGCTCCATATATAACAGCCGCCACCACGACAAACACGTTGCTACACGTATCGCTGAAAGATTCAAGGGTGCTAGCAAACCTGGATCGGTATCCATCCTAATCCATGGGAGGAAAGCAACGGGCAAGGAAATGGGTTGTGAAGAGGATCTCTAGTACCTCCGCTACGGAGTTCGCTGCGGCTTCTTTTCCTAAACACTCTAATACATCATGT